GAAGTTGGTGCTTGATAGGAACAGATGATGGTCTGCGCAGAACTGAAGAAGTCGATCGTCGCTCGTTAGCTGGGCAGAGCACAACCACCGCCTAGGCAAGCTTCCGATGCGCTCAGTTTTCCAACCTGCGCGTTGAAGTCACCTGTCGGAGCTTCGACTCATCCGAATGAGATCAGTAAGTTCATCGTAGAAAGCATCCTTCTGGGCATCAGAACTGCAACTGGTCGGTGCATATGCTGATTTGATGAACAAACACCTTTTGGTGTTGGTTCCCTTCCGGACGCTGATTGAACCCTGGAGACGCACTGCGCATAAACGACTGTTGACGGGGATCCAATCGATAAGAGAGGACTCCGCCCTGTTACTGAGTACAATACCTACCCCACGATGACCTACTGATGTGCGAAGAACGTATCTCGTCTGCGTTTAAAAATAAGGATGTGTTGAAGGGAGGAGTGAAAGGGGGTGTTCTACAGTTGTGCTGTTCTTGGGAAGAAAGATGACTGAAAGTTAGAAATGCGGCATCTGGGGATAATCACTTGAAATAGATGGCTGGCCGCTTGTGCGTAGGATCTACCAGGAGGAACAAGCGGGAGAGGGACAGAAGAGGAAAGTTCACTAGAGCAAGACCCAAAGTAGTATCGATAGAAGGATCTTTGGTGCGACGAATGACCTTACTTTAAACCCGATCTCCGACCCACACATGACTGCAGTATTCAAGTGTAGGGTGAACCTGAGCTTTGTAAAGCGAGGTGAATGGGGGTGAGGAAACGTTCGGCGCGGAAGAGGAAGCCGATTTTGAGCGTAACGCGGGAAACAAGTACTTTACTGTGGCTGGCTCCTTGGAAAGGATAAGCCGGCTCCAGACATGATCATGATCATGAAGTTACTTGGGAGTTTGGTACGAGTGACGTTCCCAGCGTCACGGCATTTGTTTTCATTTTGAGGGCGCACCTCTAGCCTTTGCACAACCAAGTGCGAACTGAAACGCAACAGGAAGTAATCCGTCGCCTCAGAAGTGAGGGGGTCAATGACTGTAGTTTTAAAAGACCAGTCATATCGACTTTTCTCACGACACCGGGAAACAAGTAGATAAATATAAGGTGGCCAGGAAAGAGAAGATAAGGAAAGACCCAATAGGGTGCATGATTGTGGAACGGAAATTGTTCGAGTTAAAAGTTAGTGAAGGGGAGAAAAAGGTGTGCTTAAAAGAAATGGACATAGGTGAAGTTTTACTGGCATTGAAGAGAACACGGCTGCGACAGCCCCAAACAGAAATAAGGCCCAGATCACAATGTGGGGAAAAACTACGGGAGAAGCGGTCGTCATTAATGTTACAGTTAGCGATGTGTGAAGAGGAATAGAACAAAAAAGAATGTAGGATAGCGTTATCGACAAAGGGGTGAATAGGATTTGAAGTTGGAGGAAGGTAATCAATAAACATCAGAAAAAGGGAAGGGGAAATAAGAGAACCTTGGGGAACACCAGNGTATTCACAGGCACGGATCGAGACATGGTCCCATCTACTCTGACGGAGATGCTGCGGTCCTTGAGGTAGCTTGCTGTCCAGGACACTAGTGCCGAAGAAAAGCCAAACTTGGATAGTTTAGCCGGCAGAACCGCGAGTTAGACACGATCGAAAGCTTTCGATACATCCGATGAAACCATCTGGGTTTATCTGGGGTTGTCGAGTGCCGCTGATCAGGTATGCGACATGAGCGCAAGATCACCGGTAGATCGATGGGATCGAAAATCTCACTGAAGGTCGCTAAGCATCTTGTTCTGTTCCAGGTGGCGGCGGAGTTGATCACCAAAAACTAATTCCACAACCTTCGAAATAACTGATGTGAAAGAAATGGGGCGGTGGTTGTTGGGGTCTAAGTGGTAGCCGCGTTTGGGGATGGGAAGTAATTCTGATATTTTTCAGGAGGTTGGGAGTACCTTGGAGTTGACAGATAGAAGGAAGGAGCGGCGCAGGAGGGGAGCCAGTTCTGTAGCGCACATTTTGAGAACGATTGGAGAAATTACGTTAGGTCCAGGTGACCTGTGTGGGTCTAGCGATTAGAGGATTTGGCGTACCTTTCTAGGGGAAATGAGCGGCGTGAAAATATGGTTCGCCGTAGGGTATGTGGATGGCTGGATGGGTGATTCGAGTAGGAAAGAACTGGAAACAATTCGGTTTTTTCCAAGCGGGTCGGGCACTAAGTCACCAGATGGTTTAACAATGTGTGGGAAGTTAGTGGAACAGAAGTTGCGGGGTACTGTCTTGCCAAGTGACCAGAAGGAGCGGTTGCCAACTGTGCTGTTTTGAGCTCAATAAAGTGCTCCTTGACCTTCTGTATGACGGTTGTACAGTTGTTGCGTACCATCAAGAACCATGGGCGGGAGCTGGGGGAAGGTGATCGATGCCAGCTACGGAACGCTGATTCCTTTTTACGAACAGCGCAACAACATGGGTGGTTAAATTCTGGAGAAAGAGGCTTACCGGGTTTAATAAAATGAGGAATAAGTGCATGCCTTGCAAAAGAACTTTGAAAAAAATTGAAGCCGAGAAGCAACATTCATTCCTGAAGTAGAAAGCCAGGTTACGAAAGCTGCACCAGTCAGCGGAACCATATTGCCAGAATGTCCGCCTGGAATTGGGAGGAACAGTGGAACAGATAATTTGGACAGAGAGCGAAATAAGAAAATGGTCCGATGAGCCTATGGGAGGAATTGCTGCAACATTTGAAAGTAATTGTGGATTGGATGTGAGGGCAAGACCGAGGGTATGCGCGTGATCACCAGCACGGTCAGGGATGCGGGTGGGGAGATCAACGAGTTGGTGCAGGCTGTTGAATAGGGTAAATGATCCTGCTTCACGTCCAAGTGGCGATGTCCCTGAAGAGTGTAACAGCCAATCCCTGTTATGGACATTTAATTACCCAAAATTGTGAACTGAGAGTTTGGGTCTGCTTCAACAATGCTACCTATGTTTGCCGATAAATCATCAAATAGTGAAGAGTCATTACTATTTGGTACACAGTGTAGAAGCAGGGGTTGAAAGGAGGAAACCGATGTTTCAGCTAGTCTGGAACTCGCGGTTGGTGAGATTTAAGTGAAGAAACGGGGGAAGCAATTGAATGATGGATGAAAGCACAAACATCAGCCTTGAGATGAGCGAAGTGTGAAGAGAATAACTGGGAAACTGAGGATGAGTGGTGTCCGTAGAAGCAGAAGTTTGTTTCACAAAAATAGAGCGAGGGGAAGTGGACTGAAGAAAGTGATGTACATGATCAATGTTGTGGTTTAAGCCGCGAATGTTAGTGAGTGCGATTGTCTAGTGAGAGTGCGTTTGAGAATTGGTTCTGTTAATTGTAGTAATCATGGTGAGATAGAGATAACCGGCAACCTAGCCCTCACGAACCACAAGGTCCCGGTGGCTAGGCAGTGGTACTGCCCCGGCCGACCGCAGAACCGGCAGTCCGCCACTTCACAAGCGCTGGTGATGTCACCTCGGCTGTTGATGAAACGTTCTGCTAACTTCGGCGAACAGGCTAAATGGAATTCAGATTAATGTCTAAATCTTGCAAACTAAAGTGTGTTGCATGTTCAAACTGTGTTTCAACTAGACGTACGCATTCGTGGACATCATTAGCATAGAGACTAAAGATGATGTCAAGGGCAGATTGCCTTTATTTTTTAGTTAAAACACAGGTTGAACATGAAACAAACCTCATAGTTTGCAATATCTAGACATTTCAAAAATGCCATTAATAACAACAATGCAATCCCATGAAATAAAACGGGTAATAAGCAAAAAGACAGTCTGAGGATATAAGACTGATATATACTTATAATGCTGGTTTTGGAGTTAGCACCTTCGGACCATACAGGCACCAGGCAGTGTATACGGTATACGGTGTTTCACTCCTCGAGAGGAGTCATAGAGTATAGCGAGTTGATCACTTGAGAGAACCTCCACACCGGAAGCCCCGCAGTTTTATACACTGCTAGGAATTATGTCCATTGCTAAATGAAAGAGGAAGGGTAACTGTCTGATTTCGCTTGGAATATAGAAAGACAAAAGAGTATTTGGGTCAATTAAGAAATAGACCAATTGGCCATTCAGTAAATATACGTTGATCGATTAGGTGTAAGGGTAATGCTAATATTTCCAATTTTACACTCGCGCCTGTGATTGCAGTCACCTGCTGCCCTGCTAGCAGACTACTAAAACGTTACTATACCGCAACTAATATGCTACCCGCCTGGGCGGGCATAAGCTAAGTTGATGACTGTAGGACATTTTCGTATAATTTGGTGGATGGAAGCATACAAACGACCCGGATCTATGGTCAGTTTGCCCGTGCTTGACCTAGGCGCACAGGCTTTTAGAGTGCGGTTTGTGCCGTTTTGCGGCACTAATTGGTGTTGTTGGGCGTTAAATATATACATGTATCAATATATGCAAAAAGATTCGTAAACTGTAGTATCTGGTGACGAATAAAAATCCGAACCTGTGAATCTTTGCCCGATAAATAAGAAACTCGTTACTCACCGCAGATCACGTGGGAGCGTTAGAAACACAATGCGCTGATAACGCCAACCTCCCACGAAGAGGTAGACAATGTAGGACATAGCGAACGACTTGAAAAAGCCATCCCGGAACAAGTAATAGTGTATAAGCAAGAGGAGTATGAAAGAGTAGCACGGCTTCCAGAACTCTTTGGACGCCATCGCTCAAACGTCCTTCAATTTGAAAGTTCAGGTTGCGCAGTTCAGGTCAGGTCAGGTTCAGTTCAATTCAGTTCAGTTTGCACAGGACAGAAAATGGCCACGGCCAATCGAGCGTCCAGAATTCCTTCGGTGGTATGCGATCAAGTATGGCATCCATCACTGCGAAAAGTAATCCCTACTTCCTGGCTGAAAAGAGGAAGAGAAAGACTCACGGGGATTCACGGGGATTCACGGGGATTGACGGGCTTGGGAACCGAAGTTTTCGAGTAGTCCGGGTTCCGGTGGTAGGTTTGTTGCTCAGTGTCGGACGGAGGTCCTCGGAGTAGTTGTCTGTCACTCGGTATTCGAGTTTG